ATGTAAGTGTTCCTAATGTCCACCACCTATCCATGTAAATGTTCCTAATGTCCACCATCTATCTATGTAAATGTTCCTAATGGCCATCACCTATCTATGTAAGTGTTCCTAATGTCCTACACCTATCCATGTAAGTGTTCTTAATGTCCACCATCTATCCATGTAAATGATCCTAATGTCCACCACCTATCCATGTAAGTGTTCCTAATGTCCACCATCTATCCATGTAAATGTTCCTAATGTCCCCCACCTATCCATGTAAATGTTCCTAATGTCTACCACCTAACTCTGTAAGTTGTCCTAATGTCCACCATCTACATGTATGCATGTAAGTGTTCCTACTGTCCACCACCTATCTATGTAAGTGATCCTAATGTCCACCACCTATCCATGTAAGTGTTCCTTATGTCCACCACCTATCCATGTAAATGTTCCTAATGTCTACCACCTAACTCTGTAAGTTGTCCTAATGTCCACCATCTACATGTATCCATGTAAGTGTTCCTACTGTCCACCACCTATCTATGTAAGTGTTCCTAATGTCCACCACCTATCCATGTAAGTGTTCCTTATGTCCACCACCTATCCATGTAAATGTTCCTAATGTCCAACACCTATACATGTAAATGTTCCTAATGTCCAAGACCTATCCACGTAAATGTTCCTAATGTCCACCACCTATCGAAGTAAGTGATCCTAATGTCCACCACCTATCCATGTAAATGTTCCTAATGTCCACCACCTATCTATGTAAGTGATCCTAATGTCCACCACCTATCCATGTAAATGTTCCTAATGTCCAACACCTATACATGTAAATGTTCCTTATGTCCACGACCTATCCACGTAAATGTTCCTAATGTCCACCACCTATCTATGTAAGTGATCCTAATGTCCACCACCTATCCATGTAAATGTTCCTAATGTCCAACACCTATACATGTAAATGTTCCTTATGTCCACGACCTATCCACGTAAATGTTCCTAATGTCCACCACCTATCTATGTAAGTGATCCTAATGTCCACCACCTATCCATGTAAATGTTCCTAATGTCCACCACCTATCCACGTAAATGTTCCTAATGTCCACCACCTATCCATGTCAGTGTTCCTAATGTCCACCACCTATCCATGTAAGTGTTCCTAATGTCCACCACCTATCTATGTCAGTGTTCCTAATGTCCATCACCTATCTATGTCAGTGTTCCTAATGTCCACCTCCTATCCATGTAAATGTTCCTAATGTATTGTTTTATCTTTATTTTAGTTGTTTAAGTGTCACATAAATTATTTTCAACACGCTTTATCAAATGAATCTTAAGGACAGCGCGTACTGTGGTGGCCTCTAGGTATACCCCCGACAGCTTCAAGTAAATCGTCTCTATTCAAAGAACTTTAAATTTCCTAAAATTTTATTTTGTTTAGATCAAGAACGCATTGTATGGCGTCGTATAATTCACCTACATTCATTCCTAGCCATCAAAGCCATCCGTTAGATATCACGTTAAATTGGAGTTGGGCAAGCGACAGAATCAGTCTTATCTCATACCCAGAACTTGTAATTCTATCAGTTTAAATTTCCTTATACAGATTAAAAGAAAACTCAATTGCAATGCATTTATGAACATAGAAGCGACCATAAAAGACACGTCACTTTACATGCAGAGAAGCTGTAATTAGCAATAATAACGGGGAACATATGTACACCTCTCTTAGACATCTCAGGCGGGCATAACTTAAACATAATTACAAACCGTCATGACATACTCCCGAAATATTGATCTGGTTTAAAGACAGATCTAGACGCAAACAAATATATTTGAATCGGTATCAGTTCTCTAGCGAATTAGACAGAATCGTATAACTTGGGAGTTAGGAGTGCGAGACGTCAGCTTGGGTATTTAATTATTTTATTTATGTTCGTTCGTGATGCTCTAGTACAGAAGGGCTGGTACCATATATCTGGAGAGATTTGTTTCCTTAATCTCCAGTTTTATTGGTACACAGCTATCTAGCACTAACCCCTCGACTTGCGTCTCCCGGGGGTATCGTTAAACACGCTAATGTAAAAATAAAACAAATACGAAACAAATGTATGCATAGTAAACTCTACCAGGAACATGTATTTTACTGGAGGTAGATTTTCCGTTCAGCTTCTGTCAATTCTGTTCCCGCAAAACAATTTTACTGCTGATAACACGAAAGGAGTTCCAAATGAATAATGAAAATGGAACTGTTCCGTTTTATAATATGGTTATTGTGTTTTCCTTTAATAGTAAACCAAATTACACGAAACCTCACCATGATGCATGTTTGTTAGCAGGACAAATCTTGTTTCTGTCCGAATCTCGGATTTTTATCCTATCGTTACTGATGGAATATCACCGTTATACCTAAATGTATATCATGTTATCTTCTGAATACAATCTTTGTTGGTTTTTTACACCAAGAAGTTTTGAATTGAGTAATGTTCACAATGTATAACAAACACACCTAAGAGTTATTGTACATTTACCGCGAATGAATTACAGAGAAATCCTCTTCATCGGCAAACGTATATCATTAAGTACAACCACACCATAGAATATTAAAAGTGAGCATGACAATAAAGTAATATTGTCTCAAATTTTAAATATAGAACTGATTCAAAAAATCAGCCGGAGATTGGATCTGGATGGTTGTTTCTTCATTGAAGATTTTGAAATCCTCTTTTTTCAATAACAGCCTCGCATGTGGTGTGTAAGTAAATATATCTCCGTTTATACTAACATGAACACACGAAAAATCATTCATATTAGATTAACGGCTGTTTTTTGTCACAAATGATTATATGAATCAAATACATAACTTGAAACAAAGCACTAAATAAAATTTGGAATTACAAATCTAACGACATATCATTTCCTTTCTAGTTGCCTATTCGACAAAGGACGTGATATACGTGTGGCGGTACGGGGCAGCAGCCTCGGTCGAGCTGGCGGCGGATATGACCCTATCGCAGTTTGACCTCACCAACCATTCAGCCTCCTACTCCACCACTTTCAGAAAAGGAAGTATGTTGTTCTTATCCGTTATATTTGTTTTATTCATAGTTTACACAGTTTACAATATTGTACTGAACCAGAATTGTATACAATCACCTTTAAACCACTACTGTATAACTGTTTATAAACGGTAACACTTATTTGTTAAACGTCAGTATCCCCTTGTAACGAAAGTTCGAGAGGATATAGGTTTCTTCATGTACGTATGCACGAACATGTATGTCCGAATGTTACACTCTTTGTCATCGATCTAGCGACATCATTTCTCAACGGAATTTCACAAAATCTGATACAAGTGTTTGCAATGACAATACCTTTAACACATTCGTGCAGAAATATTTTTGCTGTCAAATTTAACAATTTTGCATGTACAAATGTGACACATTGTGTGAAAGCGAGGGGATTTGTATCTAGAACTATCAATTACTTCTCCAGTGGAGCTGTCCATGTTGTCCGTCCACTTCGGCCTGAAACGTCACTCGGGGTACTTCCTTATCCACGTTGTAGTGCCCTGTATCCTGCTGGTCATCTTGTCCTGGGTCAGTTTCTGGATCAACAGGGAAGCCACGGCTGACCGTATAGCGTTAGGTAACGTTTCTAACTTTACATAGACACATGTAAACCAGTAACTGCACATATCAGCGATATATCGTTTTAAATATCAGTAACTGCCGGTGATATATCGCAGTGAAATATATGAAATGTCAGTAACCACATTGTATTATATACGATACAATTGTACAGATGTATTTTGCTGTGAAATGTCAATAACTGTCATTGATTTAATACTATGATATAAATGTATGTAACTGTCAGTGGAAATTGTCTAAAACTTATCGCTGTGAAAGTTAAGTAACTTTGCTGTAGAAAATGAAATATAAGTAACAATGATATAACGCAGAGAAATATCAGTAAAATGCAGTAGTAGGCCTATATCGCTGTACTTTATCAGTAACGGTCATTGATATAATGTTCCGATCGGTTTCAGCTTCATTTTCACATTTAATCTACATTGGTTATTTATGGAAGCATTGAACTGCTTTCAGTCATAGGTAGGTAATTCACTGTATGACTGCCACTAAACGCAGTTCAATACTTGTATTTACCTTTTTTGGAATTTGTTTATCTCATACAAAATCGAGTTATACTAACTATTATTCAGTATTTCGTTCAAATAATATATTTATCGTATATGCGCGTTAAATGGATAGAACAGACATCTGTACAGCTCGTACATAATAAATATAACGTCCGAATAATGCTGACACAACAATCGGCTCATGGTTCATGTCTTCCAGAGCCTATAGGAATGCCTTCTGAATGTGGTAGGGTTATACAGTAGTAATGTAATATGATGGTAACGGGTAATGTCGGAGACTTAACTGGAAATCGGTTCACGTGCTTTTGTACAATATCGGTTATCCTCGATAAGCCAGGGGTTATGCTCACTAACGCTCTCTGCACCCCTTGAATATGTCATAGCAAAATTGAAAGCACATGGCAAGCAATTTGATTGGTCTCAGGCAAAGAAACCTGACCAATCGCTCGGCAGATAACTGTCCTTCAAATACTACAAAGGAGTGACAGCCGACTTCAAAGCCAGTCTATTGTACCGTTACGCGAGATTCTGTTGATGTTCATCGAAGGATCAAGTCTTCTCGTCTCATTCACAAGATGTTGCAACGCTGAGCCTTCAGTTTTGCTACGACATATTCCAGGGGTGCAATTTGGAATTCGATATTCCCAAAAGGTTTTAAAAGCTTGTCTTGTTTTGATTTCTTGTTTGCTGCTCGGTGAACCAGGTACAACAACAGTGCTGACCATGACCTTTCTGGCTCTGGAGAACAGAAATGACCTCCCACGTGTATCGTACGCCACTGCCCTGGATGTTTACGTCGCCATGTGCTTTCTCTTCGTTCTCTCTACCATTGTTCAATTCGCCGTCGTTCATCACTTCACGAAAAGAGGTCACGGTGACCTAGATCATTCCGGACAGAAGCAGGAGCCTAATAAGGTAACTGTGAGTTTATTTAGTGCTGAAAGGTTGGCACCATCGCTCAACTTCAGAGCGTTCCTTTTGTAAAACAATTGGTTTACGTTACTAGCGTTATTGTTCATTTATCAACTTAAATACAGTATACACCATTAGAGCGATTTGGGTTATCTAAGGGTTGCGACATGACGGTTTTACATCTCCTTTATTTTATAACACGAATCTTCTTAAGACAAACATCCAAATGCTGAGATCGATGACAAGTTGATAATTTTCGGGATAATTAAAATATGTGATTGGAATTAGGAAATAATTCTCAAAAAGAAAGATAACTCGTTCGTCGGGAAAACACACATGGATCACTCCAGTCTCAATAACGATTTTTAGATTTTTTAATTTCTAATAATTCAATTTGATAGAATTTCTTTCAGGATTGTCGTTTATGTTTCCTCTCCCTCCTATTCTTTAAACTCCAAAACACTGCAAAGTTTGAACCAAAAAATTGCATGTATCAGTGTTAGCCGCAAACAATCAAGTTAGTTTACAAATAAAGAGAAACAAATGCGAACTTCTGGTCAACTGACGAAACGTCGACCGTGGATACAAGGTGGTGCAGTTTTAAGCTGCATTTAACAGAATGACTAAGTTTGGCTCAACTTAGTCATCAAATATTCGTAGATAGGTTTGTATTGGCTGATAATAAAACAGGTATAAGTTACATGTACTTTAAGTACGATTTTATTTTATTTCCCTTATATTACAATATGAAATAATAGCGACAAACCGATAATCCCTCGAAGCCGAACACTGTTTTGCAGGTTTTCCAGAGGAAGCCAGCCATTGGAAGAGTACGGTTTCGGAGACAGAACGGAACTTCAACAACATCTTCAAGAATTTTTGTATCCCGGGCTGGTGACAGTCGGTTTGGGGTGTGGCTGTCCAGTCTACGCTTCCGTCGTCAGGCTAGAAAGTCCACCCCAGAACCCAACAGTGTTAGTAAGGTGGATAAAATATCACGACTTATGTTTCCAGTTGTTTTTATTATCTTAAATTTAGCGTATTGGGTGGTATTCCTGCCATAGCAAGGGCTGATTAATTCGTGTAAGGTAAATTATATTGTTTTGTATCCGGATTATCGAAACTCTTCTGTAAATTGTGAATCCGCATTACCGATACACTGCTGTAATGTTGCGTCCGGATAAACGAGGCTCTGCTGTACATGTTTTTTCCGGATAAACAAGACAATGATATACAAATTGTGGTTTCGGATTAACGGTATTCTGTGCTAAAATTGTGTCCGTTTAAACGCAATGCTATTTAAGCCGTGTGCGGATTACTGGAATACTGCTGTAATTTTGTGCCCGGATTATTAAATTTGCCGCACATGTTGTGTCTGGATTAACAAGATTTAGCTTAACATGTGTCCGGATGAACAAAGTTTTATTTATTATGTAACCGGATTAATAAGACTGCGCTGTTTATTATGTAACCGGATCAATAAGACTGCGCTGTACATGTAGCGTCCGGATTATCGAAGCCCTGCTGTACATGTTGTGTATGGATTAACACATATCGTGTTAAGATTAGAGAGGTCTCGCTGTACATGTGGTGTATGGATTAACACATATCGTGTTAAGATTAGAGAGGTCTCGCTGTACATGTGGTGTATGGATTAACACATATCGTGTTAAGATTAGAGAGGTCTCGCTGTACATGTGGTGTATGGATTAACACATATCGTGTTAAGATTAGAGAGGTCTCGCTGTACATGTGGTGTATGGATTAACACATATCGTGTTAAGATTAGAGAGGTCTCGCTGTACATGTGGTGTATGGATTAACACATATCGTGTTAAGATTAGAGAGGTCTCGCTGTACATGTGGTGTATGGATTAACACATATCGTGTTAAGATTAGAGAGGTCTCGCTGTACATGTGGTGTCGTAATTAACGAGGCTATGTTGTTTTTAATGTGTGCGGTTTACCGTTGTTCTGCTGTAATGGTTTGTCCTGATAGCCGGGACTCGTACGTTTTGTCCGGATTAACGTGGCTTTGCTGAACATGCTCTTTTCGGATTAACGATGATTTGCTGTACAAGTTGTGTACGGATTATCGAGGTTTCGCTATATATGGTGTACACATATTATCAAGATACCTCTATCATTTTGTGTTCGGATAAACGACGCTCTGCTGCACGTGTTGTGTTTGGATTACCGAGGTACTTTCGTACGTGTCCGGTCTGGATAAACGAGGTTCTACTATAAATTGTGTACCTCTTGTCTCTCCTCAGAAAAGGATCGAATGCGTTTCCTTTCCTGCCATTTTGAAAATGAATTAAAACAATTTGGTTTTTGCGAGCAGTATACAGTTACAATGTACAAAGTACTCAGCGGAGTAGGAAACCCAAACACTACCTTCAGCTGAGATAAATTGATTGTTGTATTGCCATTATGTTCAATTTGGTATCAATTTATTCATTGAAGTGACACTTGTAGAAAACAGAAGCTTCTCGGACGGTCTCACGTCAAACCAGTTTGGTCCAGACGATGTAACAAAACGTTTATTGTTTTCGAACTGCCACCAAATTGTCGTACAATTTGACGTTGTAACGCTCTTTTCAGCCGTTCCCCTCTGAACCTGTGACAGCCTAGGCATAATAACATGCGTATATAGGTGATATTTGTATGATCATTCAGTTGTCAAGGGGTGACAGGAGAATAACGTTTCCGTCTAGTCACTATTTTGATTCATAAAACTATTTATGAAAACGTACGACGGGCACCTGGACCATCATAGAATCTTCGTTGTTTTAATATACGTACTTGAGGTTGACAGGCAAACATTTTATTGGTTAAAGCGACAACGCAATTATAGTCACACTGTGTGTTTGGTTGTGAGGCGACCAGTATTGTCACACTGTTGGTTTGGTAGTGCGGTTACCTTTTTTTACATGTACGTAAATGATGTTGAGATTGTTATATTGTATGTTGGGAAATGATATAACAAATGTTGTGATACTGTATGAGACTATCTGCAAGATAAATTGATGTAAGAGGTTTTCAAAATACCTCGAGATTATGATGAAACGTCGTCTACTTAGCAAACATTCAAGAAAATAATATTTGCAATTTATGGATATTGTTTTTGTTAACTCGCTTATTATTTAAACTATCTTAAATTAATAAATATCAAGATTTTGTGACATAATATATTGAAAAATGCATTTTTTTACGTAACCGGAAGCGCACGTGATAAGAGAACATGACCCGGAAATTAACTCACGACAAAATCGGGTCGGTAATAAAAAAAAAAAAAAAAAAAAAAAAAAACGATTATCGAACATAAACAGATTAATACCGTATGTATTGAGACACTGATGTGCTAGAATACAACACAAGGTAACACTCGTTTAATCCTTTTTCTATCACATCAAGTACTAACTGACATTTATGCGAAAATATCAGCATTAAATGTTTGCGGTCGCGCAGACCTACTTTCGTTTTACAGTTTACATACATTTGTACATGTCGGCATCAACAGTATATCTTAACTTGTTTACTTCATCGTGCCGAAGATTATACATAGGCGCATTGTCGAGGATAAGTTCGTGATTAAAAGCGTGTGTGCCTTTTTCATCTTAAAACTATCAGATAAAAGCATAGTGGCATGTAACATCAAGATACACAATATAAGAATCTTTATTTTACGTTGAATATACGTCATAGTTAACACAAGCTCTCAGGAGCTTGTATTTCGACAAACATATATAGATATAAATGGTAAAACATTGTAACAGTGTAAAGGCAAACAACTAACTTTATCATAAGATACATGTACCTACGTTGGAAGGATTAGGATAAAGAGGCTAAATAATCATGCTGGCACCAAAACAACTTGTTTGTAAAACTTAAAAGCAGTCTAGAGGGCAGGTGATACTGCTGTATGAACATTTGTTTTTTTGAAACATAGCGTTTATTTGTAACCTGGAGCACGGGTTTGGTAGCCGTTAATATTGGGAGACGTTTTTAGTATTGTATTGTCTCGGTATGACTACGAATGCGTTCCAGGTCAGGTAATAGAGCATCAAATGTATTAAACTCAAATATAGCATCACTTCACAACAATCATGGATTCATATGGGTACAATGTTATTAAAATAACATTCATACAGTGCATACAAGCTGAAATTAACAAATCATTGGTTTAAAATTACAAGTCATCATTTCCATTAAATTATCTAAATAAATACAATCTTTATGTCAAAATAAACTTCAAGTTTGGTTTAGTACTTCCTATCAACAGCTATACATGGTCATTTTAGGACGGCCTCCCCCATTTGCGAGATGCATGCGTGTGGCGATTTTGTGCATAATTAATTTGTTTTGGGAGTCTGTTGTATGTTCATGTTTGTCTCCTTGTGATAGCACAGGACTGATGCTGACTTTATAGTGTAATTTCACTGGAGCATACTGCTGAAGACACATCTTATTTTACGATCGAACCTCGTTATCTCACCATCTTCAATAGCCAAGGGTTCCTAATTTAAATTTGAACTATTCAACCGTGGCGGATTTAGCCTTGTGTTTAATTTCCCTTCCCTGCCTACTAGCAGAGACACTTTACTAGCAAAACTTTAAACTTTCAAAATTATTTCAGCACTGGTTGCCTATGTATTTCCCTTGGTTATCATTTACAGTTAGAATATGACCAATTATCTCTACCAACTGATCAAATACAGAAAATGTATTGTCCTCCTTTGTTTTTTTACATAAATCATGACATAGTCGACCAGGCAACTTGGTACTGGGCGCCGCCATTATTATTTACATGCACAGGGACTTGGTATTAATTTCTAACCCTCAGTTCACATTCACATGTGTACTATATAATGTATGATATAAATAAAAGATGTGGACCATAGGATGGTAATTCTTGCCAAGTTCCTGTGCCAGGTTCAATAATTTGAAAGGCTAAATCCGCTAAGGTTGAATACATGAATATGTGAATACAAAATGAACGCTTGGCTAGCAAAGATGACAGGTAATGACAACAAAAACAGGCTGAAAACATGTATTGAATGTGTTTTTCTGAAAAGAGGCTGTATAAACACATTATGAATATGTAAAATTATGATGGACGTCCATTTTAACCGAATTACATGACGTTATTTTCAATACCTTCAGTTCATCTGTATTTCCACACTGTTCTCTGTATAAGGAATAGGAATCGGTTTGTTTTTTGGGTTTTATAAATCCTCGCAACCACTTTTAAGTCATATGTGTAAGAAAGGTCTGCCAAATATCTGATTCCTTGACAACTTTACCACAAATATAAAGCAGGAATTGAGCTTTCTTTATCCACTGCACTACACTTCATATTATTTGTTGACATTTTTCTGCTTCAATACATGGAGTTTCCTCAAAAGATGCTGATAACCGAAAAGAGTCTGAAACCTTAATCATATCTTTTAGAATACTGTGTTTAAAAAAAATGTTATACATGTATCTCTTTGATCCACTTAACATCAACAAACAACATTTAAACCCCTCATTCCATAAACCTGTGATTAAAAGGATTGTAAAAAAAGTGTGTTCGCTTAAATGTTAAAATATTTCTGTTCGACATTCATATTTACAGTGGTGTTCAAATCTGTACTGCAGTATTTTTTGGTCTGATTTTTTACAGCTAAATAGGTCTCATCAAGGGTCATTGACCTGTCAGAAGTTGAAGTATTAAGTAGCCAAAGTTATTTGACTTTGGTGTAAGAGCATCCTAAAAATAGCAGAAATTCAGGGCTGGATTTTCACGAACTTGAAGAGTTGCACCCCTTTGTTTGCTTTCCTATACATCTTATTCTGGCAGTTCATCATTCATATTTTTATTTTTCCATTTGTTATGCACTTCACATACATCTGATGAAGGCTGAAAGTTACAAAAGGATAAAAGGTGAAACTTTACACCATGCAAGCCAGGTTTGAACATTTCACTGTAATGTTTGTTTTATTTTCCATGTGGGGAGGATTTTAAATGCATCTCGACTGTTATATCAATCAATTAATTTTCCTTTAGATGGTGTCCCTGAGAATTATTACTTATTTAATTTAAAATTTGTTTCAAGTAATACTCATTCTCTCTGTTTTAAACTAGGAACACTTGCTATGATTGATTGTCTTCCTTTTGATAATATTCCTGTGAGTTGCTACCACTTTCTTTAAAATGTAGATTGTTTTCCCATTGTATTTGGGAAAAAATATCCAGAAATTTTAGTTAGTTCTGAAGTTTTGCTTAAAACTTACCATACTGACAATGTCAGACAATTTCAGACATGCGAAATATATCATAATGTGTAATTCTTCTTGAATTTGGTGTACAGATAGATCTTGAATTGACAGATATCTGTCAGATCAGCACAAATAACTTATATTGGAGTCTTCATGTCCCTTCACTTTCTTTTTAAAGATTACATGATTCAAACAATTTTCTACTTGAGTCATCGAAGCAGTCAAAATCTGTCAAACAATAATAATAATTTACATNGGGGTGGGGGGGTGGGCAAAAGCTGGCCCCCTGAAGAATCGGGGATTTTCTTTCTTGTCTACTACTTGGGGGACATTGAACAGACCAAAATAGATCTTCTGCCCCCATTGCAACACACTTGGCTTAAATCTTTCCTTTCTGTCTTCACTGTTCTGCCTTTCCTTTGTCGTGCCGCCTGAGAAGCATGGCGAACACTTAAGGATCACTCTGTCCGTTGTCGTTGGCGGCGGCAGTCACATTTAAGTTTTCCAGAATTTTTTTCGCCACCATTTACCATATGAATTTGTAACTTTGTATGTGGCTTAATCATAATAGATTACAGATCAAGTTCAAACCACGTGCCAATATTATATTTTTCGCTGGTGTTATATGTATGGCCCTTTGCACATTGGAAATTCTCATAATTTACTGTTTGCCATCCTTGTTCCTTACTGCTTGCCACTTAGTATGTGGCTTTATCATAATGGATTACAGTTAGAGTCCAAACACATTTTTTGCTGGAGTTATGGCCCTTTGCACATAAGAAATTATCAAAATTAACTTTTTTTGCGACTTATTTTCGCTACCGCTTGCCATATCAATTTGAAACTTTTTTTGTGGCTTTATCATAATAGATTACAGAGTTTGAACCATGTATTAAGATTCCATTTTCGACTGGAGTTATTGCCCTTTTGCGCATAGAAAATTTTCATAATTAACTGTTTTCCATATTATTTGTAAATTAGTATACATGTATAATGGATTATAATTCAAGTTAGAATCCAGTGTCAATGTTCTATTTTTTCTGGAGTTATAGCCCTTTGTACATAGGAAATTCTTATAAGTAACTGTATTTTTTTCGCGATCACTTGCCACATCAGTACGTAACTTGATGCTTGACATTTTCTTGAATGATGGATAACAGTTTGAGTTCGATCCTCATGTCAAATTCTATTTATTGCTGGAGGCAACACACAGGCACACACAATACATTTGTATGTATCATGCACTCATGATACCATCCACATTTGACCTCAGAAATTGTGTGGACGTTAAGCTCCCTCAACCAACCAACAAGCAACTTAAAGCATAATGCTTTTCATATGGCCATTATGGTGACCAGGATATTTCAAAATGACACCCTTTAATTGTGTGGTGCACGTGCCGGCAACACATCCACTTCCTTCGAATTGTAGTTTTCTTATATAGGTGTCTCCTTGACACCCGTCCTCATATGACCCTGGCTGTTGCGAGGACATACATGTGACTCACCTAATAGAGTACATCTCTTGAAGGCCTTGTGTATGGATTGATGATGTTTTCAAGCCATTGGTCTGGAGCATTACTTGATTAAGAAGACTGAATGCCGTTTAACAGAGGGTCTCTCTCATAATACTCTGGCTCCCTAGGGGGAGGGGTGGGGTCCCAAGGGGGGATTATCTAATTCAATTAGACAATTTGTTGTTAGGACCCCTGCACATCTTTAGTAATCAGGTTTTCCGTCTGTCTGTCCTTCTATCTTTTTTTAGCTCACCTGTCAAGGACAAGTGAGCTTTTGCCCTGGTGCGCGTCCGTCGTCTGGCCATCATCCGACCTTCGGGCGTCAACTTTTCATTTTAAACATCTTCTCCTCAATAACCAAGAGGCCCAGATACATGATATTTGGCCTGTAGCATGCTGGGATGAAGGGCTACCAAGTAAGTTCAAATTAATGACCTTGATCTACATTCCAGGTCACAGGGGTTAAATGTGCTATATTAGCATCCATATAAATGACCTAGATCAGCTTCAAAGTTGCATAAGAAGCAAGTGAGCGATACAAGCCCATTGGGCTTCTAGTTTAGTTTCTGCACAATATCTTCAGTACTGTTGGTTGGATTGCTTTCAGACTTTATCCGGTGCTTGCTTTGAATAGCTTTTCAGGCCCAGCGGTCAAAGGTCAAGGTCACTGTTACCATGAATAGGAAATAAGTTAAGGCACAATATTTCGAATTCTGTTGGGATGATTATACTCAGGCTTTATCAGGTGTTACCTCGGAGAAAGTGCCTGCATTAGTGCTTTGGTGGTCAAAGGTTAAGGTCATTGTTAATTTAGAAAGTATTTGCTTACGATACAAATTGTAGATTTTGAGGCATCGATGTCAAAGTTCAAGGTTAATGTTACTATAAATAGAAAAACATTTCATGCACAATATTTGGAGCTCTTTTGGGGCGTATGCACTCGGACTTTATCCAGTGTAATCAAATGTTTGCTTAAGCCTCTGGATAGCTTTTCAGCCTTTGATATCAAAGGACAAGGTCTTTTACTATAAATAGAACAGCAGTTTGTTCACTGTATTTTGAATTATGTTGGACTGATTACACTCGGATTTTATCCAGTGCTTCCTCAAAGTGCCTGCTTGGGATAACTTTTCATGTCCAGTGGTCAAAGGTCAATGAGTCACTATAAATAGAAAATCTCTTTAATGCACTAAAGCACAATATCTTGATTTCTCTTGGGCTGATTACACTCTGATTTTATCCAGTGCTTTCTCAAAGAAAGTACCTGTTTGGGATAACTTTTCAGGTCCAGTGGTCAAAGGTCAATGGTTCACTATAAATAGAAAATCTGTTTAATACACTAAAGCACAATATCTCGATTTCTCTTGGACTGATTACACTCTTGATTTTATCCAGAGCTTCCTCAAAGAAAGTGCCAGCTTGGGATAACTTTCCAGGCCCTGGGGTTAGGTCTCTAACACTGTTACTATATGAATAGAAAATCAGTTCATAAAATGTACTACTATATTTTGAGTTCTGTTGGGCTGATTACACTCAGACTTTATCAGTGTCTTTTAAATATTCATTCTAACACGATTCGTTTGCAACGCGTGTTTTGATTGGATACGGACCATGTTCTAATCTGCGATAGAATCATGATCAATCGTGTTAAGCTCCTCCCATCGCACGCCCCGATTCTAACCAAAACAATATGGCGTCAAGCTCGCCTCTTAGCGAAATCCCGCTGTTAAGGCTAGCAGGCAACAGAACAGAAACGACCGATGAACTGTATTTGTTGAATGAATGAAAAAGTAAAAAGTACACATTCCTTTTTCTTACCTCCATTTATTACTGAAACGTTCGTTCCATCCGTGTGAAGGCATCTACTTAGATACGAAATCAAATGAAACATTTCAAATGTGTCGTATGCATTTACACAAAACTCTTCACAAATCTATACAAATAATCACCGATTTTGTCGATAAGCACAGATTGATATACATACTGACATGGAAATGTAAGAACTTGGTCAATATTAATCCAAATGTGTCGTATAAACTTTGGTAGTAGGACGTTTACGAACAATCCAAATATTCCACCTCGTCAACATACAGATCGAGCGCTCGGCAGTATGGGCGGGGCCAAATGACCGACAATTGAAAGCTTCTTTCCGATTGGTCAGTCCGCTTCAGAATGACACGTTGCAAGTTCAGGTTAAAAAGTATTTTACTACGTACTTTTGTACAAGGAAATACAATGTTTCTAAACATATTAGCGTAGTATATTTGTTAAGGTGTGTTAGAATGGGGATAGTACGTTGTTTTGAATGGCTATACTGGCGATTAGAACATGAAATTTGGTTTAAACTCTCGAACTATAGGTCTCGAGTTCAAACCCAAATTTCATGTTCTAATCGCCAGTATAGCCATTCAAAACAACGTACTATCCCCTAAATAAACATAATTATGTATACCTAACCACAGTTTCTTTTAAATATTCAATGACACAATTTAAGATAGTAGTAAATATAGTATCATCACAGTCAACTTAAAATTTAGCAATCCTAAAAATATAATTAAATAGTGAACACTTGCATATCACACAAGTGTTACTAAATGACATGGTGAAAGCACTGTTATAGTCGAATATACATACAATGCTAGTATAGCACAGTGTAAACATTGACAGGATATACACTAATATAGTGTGTATTAAAATGAGACAATGAAGTCAGTGGTGTTTCAGTAATTAAAGATAATAGATAATTATCAAATGACATTTGCCTTTAGCTAGAAACAAGCTGTAGGAAACTTAACTCCTATATTAAAATATCAATTTAACTATCAAATGTCACGTAACACTTAACACACCAGGATTGGACCAATCCTACCTACCGTTACTAATTATCATGGTAAATGTTACTCTCACTTGAAAACCCTCAGACTTTTTTTTCTGCTACCTACTTCTAGTGTATAATGACTATATTTAACAAGATCAAGCTTTTGTCATGTTGTTGGTTTGTTGAAAAGCAATCAACAGACTGCATTATACTAAAGAATACATTCAATATTGACTTAAAACATAATATATAATTTCGGTTGCGGACGTACCAAGGAAAATAGCCCACAGTTGGGGAACCCTACCTGCATGAACTATATTAGTAAAGAAAAAAAATTCTGATATATTGTAAATTATTTAAGATAAATTGATATCTGTGAATGATCATTTTTTGTAGATGTGATGGTTAACAGCTCTTTGTTGTATGAAAAAGTCGAAAGAAGTATTATTCACAAGATCCAAGGAATGTGTAGCACGGTTGGATATGAATACGTCTAGTTTGTGGTTTTTATGGATAGCTGTTGGGATCGGGACCTGGTGATAGTTTCGATGCACTCTGTCATACAAGGGTATTGTCACTCTATAATAGTGGATCGTATACACATATTTAGGCAAGCATTCTTTGTACAATCTGACAGGCTGTACAAGCCAAGCGCACCACACGTGCTAGCTACACCTCAATAGCCTGTTTGTTTTATGAATCAAATGTTTTATTTTTGTCAGATCGCCATCGATGATATAAGTCTCATTAGTGTTTTTGATATTCGGTTGCAGCCAATTCGACAGTCAATAGCATTTTGAATAAAATGGTGTTTTCCTCGAATAGACTGGAGAATTCTACGCAATGTATTTGGTGGCTTTCGAGTAGAATGTCAGAAATTATAGCTTTCTGTGGTAGAAAAGCGATCTGGGTTATATACACTGGCCGAGTTTTAACTTTGGAATATTTTTTGAGTATTCACAATATATATGCAGGTAAAACAACATGTTAGATCATTTTGATTGGTACATATAATACAGAGTCTACTAAAAATATTACGGCAGTTTACAAGGAACCACTAATCCCGATCCTCGCACGTACTACCACAGGTAAAGGTAAACAACTCTGTCCAGTGACGGTTTACAGGGGAGGGGAGGCTACTCGTGTTTGCACAGCTGGAGAAGACACCGCTAATCCAGAATTGCCGGTAGCAGTACATGACTGAGTTTTCCATGTGGGTCGGTGCTAGCACTCTAATTAACTATAACAAAAAAGTAGCACAAGATAAATATGTACATTGTAAAAAGAAAAACCACGAAGTTTGAAATGTGTGCTGAGGGAGTGACCCAATCACGTTTACAGATTGGTACATGGCTAGAGTGCAATGCAAGGTTGATCCTGTATTAAATGTTTAATATTGCTGTATTTATCGAAACGTGTCTTATCTATTCTGATGGTAATATTGCTGACATTGCCAATATGTTTTTTGGAACGATTTGATGTTTTAAGGATGCTGACTTTTTGAAGACCCATAACTAGGCGAGCGTTGCATCACCACAATAGGAGTATATGGATACTTGACTGAATTGATTTATATACCTGTGATTTTGATATGTGCTGTGCTTGTGTCGACATGATGATATGCACTTTGTTTTAAAGAATACATTTTGACGATGTTGACTATATCATAAACTCAATTAAATTGGTAAGAAATTATAAAATAAAATGTTATTTGCTTTTAACACTTACTAGTTCATTTAGCCCATCACGCATGGGACAAGAAGGGAACAGTCAGGAAGTTAAATTGAGATGACAATCTCGACACAATAGCAACATAACTCAGAAATGTACCCTGCATTTCGTAACCAAAAAACTACAAAACTTCAAGATGAGTTTTTCGACACGTTTGAAATGTGTACTTGATGACGTCATTAACAGACAAAATATCACCTTAGCAACCGAGCACTGTAGAACGACACCTTAGCATCCGAGTACTGCAGAACGACACCTTAGCAACCGAGTACTGCAGAACGACACCTTAGCATACGACCACTGCAGAACGACACCTTTACAACAGAACTATGCAATACTTCATCTTAACAACCAAGCTCTGATAATACTAATACCAGCTAAGCACCTCCATTGTTACTACAGTAAGACTAATATCATCAGTTTGTAGCGAAATCAATATTCAACTTACAGTTTCACTATAATGGTGTATCAGCATAGCGGTATTTACAGACACTCCTGCGTAAATGAAGATACAAAATGTATCCTTTATAGAAATCGCGTATCATGTATAATATGACAGTAATATAATTAACATTGTTTTAACTCCGAATAAATGTTTAAACTATCTAGGCACAACGATTCGGACAGGGTTATAGACTTTTGTCAGAAGAGAAGTTGAAACATACTTCCCTATAGGTTAAAATCGTTGTGAACTACAGATATAAAGGTGCAAGCTGTTTAACATGTAATTAGATAAAAAGAAACAAATATATAATAAACATATGAACTGCTTGCTCTTCAATAAACACACTTAGATATCCTCATATTCTATCAAAAAGGTATGACGGTCTATCATCATATCCAAAAAGGCGGCAGTCCGGGAGAACATACTGTCTGAATCTCTCCAACAGCTGTTTGTCCAATGTCCGGTACATGCCTATCAGGAACCTATGTTTGTACTCGGACACTCGTGCGGGATCGCTAACTTTGACCGCCTCATGAAACAACATATCCATGGTCATATCTGGTGAGTCTGGAACAGGGGCTTGTGGATTTATTAAACCGCGTATTTGCAGTGTCCGCCAAGCGCGAGTGTACATTGCTCTCCAAGGCATACAATGCGCCATCTTTTGTCTTAGACTAAATGTGTCATTTAGCACCAAATATATTGATAACGTCACTGATGTTCTTTTCGATATTTCAACAGAAATATTATTGGAGAGATTCATTTCAGAAATAAGATAAGATGCGTCTTCATCAAAGTTTTCCATTGTACCAATGTAGTCATATTTCACCTCGCATGGTAAACAATGAGTGTATATTTGTGAGAAATGAACATCGACGTAATTTTGAAGATTTCTTTGTTGCATACTCACTAAGTACCTAATAAATTCAGTGAAAGTCAAATCGTGGCCACACGCTAAACTGGCTGCCGTCGCGTTTCTTCGCAATGCTTTAATAATACCTCGTCCTAACGATTGCATGTAATAATAATTCATGGAGTATAACTTGTCCACGTATCCAGAAAATGCACGAGCGTATGGCTCTCTAACAAACATTGCCTTTTGAGCAGTCCCAATAATCCTCGTGGAATTTTGAATATTAAAATTCCTCAAAGTCGGCAGCTCTTCTTTGTGAACATAAAACTGTGGAATTGAATACAGGTTCGTGTATTCCGGATGATTTAATAGATGAAACACTCTCCTCCAAAATGTACTGCCTATTTTCTCCACCATACAGTAGATAAAATTGTGCTTGTAGTCGTACAAAAGGTTCCTGTCTTTAATGGAACCCAGTGTCGGGTGAACCTGATACACTGACTTCGATTGGCATGCTTCCAGTAAATTAAACTTCATAGTCTCAAATCGATCACGTATTATCTTATTTTGTATAGTTTCGTTTCTTCCAAAACTGTTTTCAATCCTCTGATATCCGAGTAAGTTTGTCTATGGGAGGAAAATATATGAGTTATTAATACTTTATACACTTATTGTTAACATCAGAAAATTGTATATCAAAAATTAACTCGACCACGGTATCTATAGGAATTATCAATATGTAAATTGATATGTAAATGAGGAAATATCATTTATATACTTCTTCCTTAACTATTTGTAATAAGCTCTGCTTTTACATAACTTCCTATATATAACTAATTTACAAACGCATAATTCCATCCTCGAAAATCCTAAAACTTTTCATGAATTTTAAGTGGAGTCATTAACGCTATCATGCAGGAAACATCACAATAACTATTCGTACAACCCTTCAATGGTAAACACTTTGACAAAGGACACGAAATTTAACACTGGCATGGACCATATTTGAAACAGTAAACGCTAACGAACACTAGAAACACTTAATTTAACAAAGAAAATACCTTATTTGTGCCAGGAAACATTAAATGTAACACTGGACTAGTCAGTTTCGTAATTTGACACACGAGAAACACAGTAAACGTAGAATAGAAAACACGTAATCAAACACAGGAAACATTGAATGTAATACAGAGTTAGAGAGTTCAGTGCAAATGATCAATCATTTTACATACCTTCTCTGCCTTTACATAACTTCTATCTAAAGGCATCGGATAACCTACGGAATAAATTTATTTTTTGTCAATAAATATAAAAAAAACTCAATGACAGTCATTTTTAATATAAACAATATTATCACTTTATACGAATGATTTGAGCTTGGTACAATTGAAACACAATTCAATAAACTTGAAATAAGTACATGTAAAGAGACATGGTCAAAAGTAGATAATTCCCGGTAGCAAAAAAAGAACCGACCCTCGTTTCATTATAAAATATGAAAAATATCATTTGCGCAAAAGTCTTAAACATCACAAACATTGCGTCTCGTACTTGAATGCCTTACAAATATAGCCTGTATTGTAACACTTTTGACCAAAATTGACCACTTTGTAGTGGATTTCAACGCTGTGCGAAACGCTGGGATATGGATTCAGGAAAACTATCAGAATTGCTATAACAATATTCATTTGTTTGATAAAATAAAACATTTGATTATGATTACAATATACAATTATGGACTTTTGTGCTGGTGAATATGATGTGATATGAACCTGAAAGAGTGATATTGACGGAGGCGAAGCCGAGGTCAATATCACTCTTTCAGGTTCATATCACATCATATTTACCAGCACGAAAGCCCATAACTGTTTTATTATTTGCTTCAACAATAAAATAAAACAAAACAAAACTAAAGGTTCTGATTTTTTTACGCGAGCCTCCGTGTTAAATTTAGCCAGGTTTGAATACAACAGTTCATTATTGTAGCTTTCGAAGGCATCGTCTAGGTTCTTTTTCCTAAGATAAGCATGGAGGACATGCACTGCGTGTTCAATGGCCTTTTTTACGCTAGCAGCATCTTTATCCTCGAATAGTTTTGGTAATTTTCCTAACGGAGGAGAAACGTTCGCCAGCAGCCATCTACCAATGTCGTCTGACAGATCGCATTCCATTCTAACTGCGCATGCGCTACGAGAGGTTCCGGGGAATTTCCACACAGGCTATATTTAGAAATCGATATTCACCGGATAACCAGTTTACATGAGTTTTTGAGGACTGGTCACGTGTATAGGATCCGACCAATGTGATTGCGAGAAATGTTCATGCATATAATAAAATGAATTAATTTAACTCTGAGGTAAATAAAAAAGGTCAATATTCTATAAACCTTTAAATATATAGACACCATGTACAGGAATATATCGATAGATTTAACCAATATAATCAATATTGGAAGAAAATATAACGATTGCTGAGGCAAAACTGAGACAAGAGAGAGTTTGAAGAACTCCATAGCACATAGGGCAGTTGGAACAAAGGATGAGGGTACAATATACAGAAGGAATACAGTTAGCAGGAGAACATTGTATTCCTTAATGAACCGGCAGGTAAACAAAAAGGGGAAAGATAACATGACATTAATTCAAAGAAATATAAAAACACGTCTGGAGGATCTGTACACCCATCAAAGTAATGCAACCCCAGAGGAAGGGTTCAGTCCGAAAACAATGGACGTAATGTTTCTATTTATTAGTATATTTAGTGTTTTAAGCAGTGTATTTGTGAAGATACTGAATAATAATAAAATAGAAAGGGGGTTGTATAGGAAATCATGGAAACCATTGCAAGGATATATTTATACAGTAGAAAATATATTAACTTAAGTGAGGTTTTAAGCTTGAAAACGTTTGGATTTAAAAATGTAACTTCAAAGTCTGTAACTGCTGGCATTTCTCGAGATAAGTGAACTAGGACAAAGGATACGTCATCATTTTACAGAAAGCTGCCAGTGCTCTACCAAACAAGGTATTGTTACAGATTACCGACATTAATTGGAATTTATATTTTATTTATTAAATTGAAGAAAGCATGAAGTTAAAATAACGGCTTTTGCTATAAACTGGAAAGTGTAACATCGGGTGTCCAACGGGGACCACTTATATACCCTAACATCGGGTGTCCAACAGGGACCACTTATATACCCTAACATCGGGTGTCCAACAGGGACCACTTATATACCCTA